CCCCCGGCCCGCCTGCCGCTCGCCAGGCGGACTGGCTAGAAAGCGGCCCCGGCGCTCCAGGTGGGACCCGCGATTGACGCCGGGTGCCCGCTAGGGATCTAGGTGCGCTCCTCGCGCCCGCGGAAGGAGCTGGGTGACTGGAGCTGGAGACCTTGTCTCTGATTCCTCCGCTTACTTACTGTGCCTCCTTCGCTGCCCTTTGTACACAAGGAAATAATGGGGCGAATTGAATAACCAGGAATATTTACCCTCTCTTTCAGAGCTCCAGGAGGGGAGGAGGGTGCCCTGCCCTTTAAAAGCAGCAGGTGATGGGAAGGAGGGGGAACTGGCCTCGCCTTTAGGAGCCTCCTGGGAGCCGGAACGCTTTGTCTCCTTTTTCCAGACGGAACCACGGGGCGCAGCCACGCAAGCCCTTGATTTCTTAACCCCCTTCCTGGGAAAGTTGATTCTGAAAAGGATAGAGGGGCCTTCCTTTCTTCTGACAGGGAGTGAGTTTGTCCCAGAGCCGTTTGGAATGTGAATCAGAGTTTGGGACCACAACCCCATTTCCAGCTGCCCTTTCTAAACTAAAATTTTATGTCTTGTCTTTGCTTTCAATTAACACTGGATTGGTGTTGTTAATCTCCGGAGATGCTGGAGGCTGCTAGGGAGCGGGGTGTCACCCCGTGATGTCACTTAGCTATAAGATGGGCTCCTTGTTCCTGTAGGTTTTGCTTCCTGTGGGCATCTCAGACTCAGTTCCACAGGTCCTTTTTTTAGCCCTAAGAAATGGTGACAGAGAGCAAGGGAAACCTGGTCTGACTTTTGGCCTTGGTCTTACAGAGTTCAAAACCGTTTACAATGTGCCCCACCCCCAGTGCAAACTCGCTCATTTATTTATCAGATATTAGTAGGATTACTTCCCATTTTATTTCCAATATTTTTTGACATAAGTCGTTTTCTTAAATGCCTGAGATCCGAAAATCTAGAACGAAACATTCTTGTTGTGATGGCGTTTTTTCATAGCAGGATTGGGCCGACCTATAACTAATATTCTCCACTTGCTTATCAGGGGTGAGCAGCAATTTCAAGTGGTTCCATTTATCAACTTCCTTAGTCATCACTACAGCTTTTGCTGACACTGTTGAAAACCTCTTTTGTGACATCACCAACCTATTCTGTGTTCCATGTGACAGCCTTTAGCAAAATATTCTGCTTTCTCTGCACCCTACAATCAAGCAGCCTGAAAGAGAAAGTCAGTTTTTGCTTAGGCTGGTATCAATGGCCTTCCATGGAGGAATGAGAACCAAGGAAGGACATAAGCATATGGATAAGTTTTTTTTTGGGGGGGGGGCGGCGTGAGTTTAAGCCACCGGGTCCGGGACGTGAACTGCGGTCGACTACGTGGGAGTCCGGCGACATAGCCATTACGCTAACTGCTGGTCCCAGCATATGGATAAGTTTTTAACACAACTCTGCTACTTCTATGTGGAAGGTTGTTTTTATTTTATTATTCTCATTATTATTATTATTATTATTGCTGTAGAGCATGTGCTTGCAGGAGACAGAAACAGAGAGAGAGAAAAAAAGTGAGAAATCACCACCCAGGGGAAATGGCCATGCCACAATCCCTTCTCCATTCCCTTCTTGGAATGCTGGGCACACATGCACACACAGCTGACATGTTTTTCAAACTGCTGAGTCCAGGACTTGAAACTGCACCATCAGCCATGTGGAATCCAGCAACCTTGATCTCTATGCCGTCTACTGGCCCTGTGTGTGTGTGTTTTCTTGTCTAATTTTCTTACATAGCGGGGTTGAGGCACTAAGAAGAGAAAAAGCAGTGGAGAGTGTGTTCAGGACTTGCTAGTTGAGTAAACAGAATGAAGGTTGATGAGTACTACCTATATTCTATCTCAGCTATGAGACTTTTTTCTCTCACTGTGCCCTGGAGGGTATTTTGCTGGTTGCAGCTTTCTCTTTCTGTGTTTTGCTGGTTTCTCTAGGATTACTCTTCAAGCAAATAAGAGAGTAGAAATCAACTCAGTCAGTGTTATTCAGGTCTGGGGGCAAGAGAGTAGATTTCACAGCTAAGTTAAGGTCAAGGAAGGAACAGAATCTTGGAAACAAGAGTTAAAATATTTGGAGACCAGGAGCGAAATCTTGAAATTTCAACTTCAAGAACACTTACTTAACTCATGTATGTGTAAGTCATGATACTTGGAAACAAACAAAAAGAATAATAATAGCATTTATTTTAAATATGCTAAGTACATGGAACTAGAAATCTGTCCTAATTTAGCTTCACAATCCTGGGAGGTAGGGAGGAGAAATAATGACACTGTTTTCATAAAGTTATAAGGAGATGTTTTTAGAAACATGTAATCTGAGATTCAGAAAGATAAATGACTAGAGTTTGAATTGTGGCTAATTCTAAAGTCTATATTACTGCGATTAGGTGAATTTGCTCATGACATCTTAGTCTTGTGAGCATGTTTTATCAAAGGAGGACTTTAAAGAATATGAGAATAGGAACAATCATACGAGAGCTTTTGAAAACAACTATGCATGAGTTTCAAAAATTTTTTGCGTCAAAATCTATTTCTATTTAATTCTATTTCTCCATGTGTGAGAATAGTACCATTATTTCTGTTTTACGGATTAGAAAAATAATTTTTTTTTCACACTAGCAATGCATGTTACAGTACTGTGGCTTTAACCACTGCAGTATACTATCTTTCATTGGAAGAACTCTAGACGCTAGGTGACAACCTTAACTATTGGGTCATCGGAAAATTCATGCCATATTTTTCTGTTTTTCTATGTAAAAATGTATCATGACTTTTCTGATGACCCACTAGCTCATGTTTGAAAAAGTAGGTTATATGGAGCTGTGCTTGTTGAATGAGGTGACTAAATATGGCAAGTGTACAGAAGACAAAGGTGACCCCCATCATGGTTTATATAGCTCAGCATAAATTTTTGTCCTCTCATTTGATTCTGTTTTAATCACTGAAAGTTTTCAGTTGTCAGGGCTGGACATGGCCTAGACATTACATTTTTTTAAAGAATTATTTTATTTAACTTTATTTATTTATTTATTGTAATTTGACCAGAAAGAGAGAGAGTGTGTGTGAGAAAGAGAAAGTGAGAAATCAAGCCGCCAGGTCTGGAACTCAAACTGTAATAGGCTATGTGGGAGTCCAGTGCCCTTAACCACCATGCCACCTGTCAACCTGAAATTATAAAATCTTTATTCTCATTATTTGCAAGTGAAAAAGATGGCCTCTTGAGAAGGGAAGTGACTGTCCCTAGGCTCCACCTTCAGACCAGGAGAATGGAACACAAATAGCTTAACTTGAGTCTGAAACCCTTCTTATTACAGGGCTCTTCCTCTGTTAAATAAATATGCTCAACTCAACTCAACTCTTCCCTTAATATTTATTTCCTAGCCTTCTTTTTAGTTATTTTTATTTAATTTTCTAGAGGGCACATGTACTTCCCAGAGAGACAGAGACTCACAGAGAGAGGGAGTAAAAACACATGCTCCATGGTGAATGACCATGCCCCAATCCCTCTTCTTCCATCTCCTCCTCCTTTCAGTATTTTGGGCATGCACAAGCGCACCTGGCATGTTTCTGAGGCCTCTGAATCAGGGACTCGAACCACAGGTCCAGCCATGTGGGATCCAGTCACTTTAACCACATGCTACTGGCTGGCCTATCCTGTTTGTTCTTTCTTTCTTCCTCCCTTTCCCCCCTCCCTCCCTCTTTCTCTCACTCTCTCCCCCCACCCCTTCTTTCTTTCTTTCTTTCTTTCTTTCTTTCTTTGTTTCTTTCTTTCTTTCTTTCTTTCTTTCCTTGCTTCCTTCTTTCCT